GTGTGAGGGTCATGGTTGCCAAGGCGATCAGGAGCGTGGGGAAACGTTTTAAAGCTGCAGACCTCCATGAAAGTTATCACCAGGTATATTAGTCTTTTTCTGTTGATTATAACATAAAAACCTTAAGCTGGGTAATTTATAAAGAAAGTGAAATTTATTGCTAACAGTTTCAGAGGCCTGGATGTCCATACTTCAGGGAACACATCTGGTGACTGTCTTGGTGGCGGCAACAGTGACCCAGGGGTTTCACGTGGCAGAAAATAGTGGAGCAGAGAGAGAAAATCTCTTTGTGTGTTGTTTTTTAAAAAACCCTCAGAACTATGCCCCTGACCACCATTAATTATCTATTCACTAAGGCGTGGTTCTACAGTCTAATCATGTCTTTAAGGCTACATCTTTCACTTACTATAATAGGATTTCCCACCCTCATCAGTTATACTGGTGATTAAGCCTCAGTGAGATTGGTGGGGCTTCCAATCTACAGCATTCTGCCCCAATCTTCTAACTCATGTCCTTTTCACATACATATACATTCATTGCATCCCCAAAATCTTGTTTCAACTCAAAAGTCCAAAGTTTAAAGTCCCATCTGTGAAATCAAGAAAAAGTTATCTACTTCCAAGATACAATGGTGGGGCAAGCATAGAGTACATATTCCCATTCAAAAAAGGAGGAATAGGCCAAAAGAAAGGGGTACCAGTTCCTAAGCAAATCCAAAACCCAGGAGGGCAGGCATTAAATATCAAAGCTGGTGAATCATGTACCTGACTCCATGTTTGATGTCCTCTGCACACTGGTGCAAGGGTTGGGTCCCCAGGTCCTTGAGCAGCTCTGCTCCTATGGCTTTCCTGGGCTTAGGCCATACTTCAGCTCTTGCATGCTAGTGATTGACTCTGGTAGCTCCACAGGTCTGGGGTCTCCATAGTGGTCCTGCTCCCACAGCTTCACAAGTCATGGCACTGATGGGGTTGCTCTGCTGCAACTCAGACCCGGTGTTTCCACTGAGCCTCCAGCGACAGCTGTCTATGGTGACTCCGTCCCTGCAACAGATCTCTTCCTGGAACCACAGTCTTCCATTCGTCCTTTGAAATCAGGGTGGAGGTTCCCAAACCTTCATATCTGGCATTCTGCAAGCCTGCAAATTTAACACCACATGGATGCTGCCCTGGCTTCTAGCTTGTATTTTACAAAGCTGCAGGTCCAGCCTTGCCTAGGACTAATTTAACTACAGCTAGAGCAACCAAAGCAGCGGGGGTACTGGTGTTGGGAGCAGCATCCCAAGGTGGCCCTGGGCAGTAAGCCTGTGGAGGGCATCTCAGGCCTGTTCCCCAAGACCATCTGTCTCCCTCGATCTCTGGGTTTGTAATGGAAGACACAGCCTCCAAGATCTCTGAAATGCCTTTCAAGGTCATTTCTCTCTTCTCTTGGCCATCCCTTTCTTCTTCCCTAATCTCCTTAGCCAATGGTTGTACACCATTGAATTGTTCTCCTGAAATGTTCTCTGCTTCTCTACCACATGGCCAGGTTGCAAATTTTCCACATCTTTACACTCTGTTTCCCTTTTATACATTCTGGCTTTATATCGTGCTTTTTCTGCCATAACTCAGCATAGGCTGTTGCAAGTAACCATGCAGCTTCCTGAATGCTTTGCTGCTTAGAAATTGCTTCCACCAAATACTGTGGGTCAGCGCCTTTAAGTTCCACATTCTATAATAATTTGGGGCATGAACAGAATGCAGCCAAATTCCTTGCCAGTTCATAGCAAGGTTGATCTTTGCCCTAGTTTCCAAGACATCCCTCCTCATTTACATCTGAGATCTCCTCAGTATGGCCTTTAACTGTCCATATTTCTATCAGCATTCTGCTCACCACCATTTAACTAGTCTCTAAAAAGTTCCACACTTTCCCTGGTTTTCTTGTTTTCCGAATTCCCACCAGTAGCTAGGCTTTTTCTAGCCTGCTCCTTGAAATTCTTCCAGCCTTTCCTCAACACCTATTTCCAAAGCTGCTTCCACATTTTCAAGTATTTGTTATAAGCAACATGCCACTTCTCTGGTACCAGTTTTCTGTATTAGTCCATTTCTGTTGCTTATAACAAAATGCATGGAACTGGGTAATCTGTAAAAAAAAAAAAATGAAATTTATTGCTTATAGATTCAGTGCAGGCAATACATCTGGTGAAGGTCTTGGTAGTGGCAACAGTGACCCAGAGGTCTCACATGGCAGAAAATGGTGGAACAGAGAGAAAAACTCTTCATGTGCTCTCCTTTTAAAGCCTGCAGAACCACACCTCTGACCACCATTATTAATCCATTCACTATGGCATGGTGCTACAATCTAATCACCTCTTCAAGGCTCTACCTTTCAATTACCATAATAGGATTTCCCAACCTTGACAGTTACAGTGGGGATTAAGCTTCAGTGAGGTTGGGGGTGGCAGGAGCATCCAATCTACAGCGTCAGGCTTAGGCAGGGGCAGGCTTGATGTTATATTTTGACATACAGTTCCATATCCTCACCCAGGAATGGAATAAAATAGAATGACAAAGGAGATCTGAAATGTGGGTGTGAGTAAGGCTTCAGAGGTTCTGAGTGAAGAATTGATCCAAGTCCTAAATGACTGAGTTGTTCTGATTAGTTAGAAAAAATGCACAACAACAGAGGCAAAAACTTTTCCCCATTTCTGAGAAGAATTTAAGGATAGGGCTTGAATTATCAAGTGTTACTAACATAAATGGCTGTGTTATGTTTCTATGAAAAATTCCTCTGTGATTACAAGAAAGCAAAACAGGAAAGAAGGAAAAGAGGGAGAGGGGAAAGAGAGAGTAAATACAGAAGAAGTAGAGAAGAGTAACTATATAAAGAGACAAGCCATGGGCTTAGTTCATT